ATAAACTGTCATTCTCATGGACTTTTTKTATTTTGTCTTTTAATCTGACTTGAAAACAGCTCCCTGTTTCAATATCTTTGCCCATCAAAACCTTCCTGTGTGACAAGCGATTCCATTGTTTTGAACAAACGTGTGAAATTTTGACTATTAGATTATTTAGTCCATTTTAGATTTTTCTTGTTTTATTTTTCCGTATGTAGAACAATAAGACAACTTGTAGCTTTATATGTCTGTTGCAGCATTGTCGTTTATTTTCCTGACAAAATTTCCTAGAGGTATTCCTTGCCTGGAGAGTTCTTTTTTCCTGAATTTCTCGCTGGCAACCCGTTGTGACTTACAGGTGGCTGGAGCATAACTAGAACAGATATATTTCTCCCAGGAACCCGTCGTCTCCTCCAAGTTATATGTTCCAGTAAGGTTTTGATATGCCGTCGGGGATGAAGGTTGAAAARCCTGTCCGATTTTACATTGACCTAGTTTTTCAATGTGTTCAAGTTGTATTGATTCACGGCTTCCTTTGAAACCATTGACATACTGGACACTGAACAGTTCAAAAATATCAGAGATTGGATATTTTCTGTGTCCTTTTTTGCCTATCTTTTTTTTCTTTCTTTTTTMTTTTTTGAAAATTTAACGTAAAATTGTAAATGAATCAGAAAATGACTTCAAATTCAGTTCGAATTCGGTTTACTTGCTTGTAGTTTTTCCTCATATAATTAAAATGTCCAGAAAATACAGTCCACAAAGTAATGATTGCGCGAGCGGCCCGTGCGACACTACAATCAAAATACGCTTTTTGTCCTAAATTTCATTTTGCGTATAAGAGTTTAAACTTAAAGTACTGATCTTTTACGCACTAAAACACCAGGATTATTAGAAAAAATAGTTTCGTTTTATATAAAAACCTCTTCAATCGGACATAGAGAAATATCAAATAGACGCTTTTTGACCAATCACAGCCAATGAGATGCCAGATGTGTTAGAATCATATTTTCAACTAAGAAAACTAAGTTTGTAGTAATTCCAGCTAGATTGGAAAAAAATTAATTCATGATTACTTTCTTTTTAGCCCTCTTAACTACATCAATTTCTCAAGACGATAATCATACTCCTGGATACCATCTTTACTTTCTCTTAAGTCAACGTCTTTGTAAACAGGTGTAAATGAAAATCACATTGTGTGAAAAAAGCTAACCGAACAGGGCCAATAAACTGGGGCAGCATCTTCTGTTGTCACCCTACCGACATTAAGATAACCCTTCTTAGAACACCACAAGACGTGTTACTATTTCTTGTGGAGTTGTTTGGGATTCGTTTTGTAATTCAAGTATTAAAGAAAAACTAACGCAAGAAAGTTATGAATCACTTCTAAGTTTCGACGCTATCCGCAGCGTCGTTCTCATCAAGAGAAAATAGAATAATAATTCAAAAGTGCTCAAGCAAAATGGATTGTCTGATTCACGAGATGCTGTATATTCGTAAGATAAAACYATCCCTGAACATCCAACCAGACTCTGTCAAGGCGAAGATATTTTATTAACTTTGTCTTTCCACAAAACCAAATGACCAAGTAAGAAGTATACTGCTTGAGAGTATTTAGAATTTCTTTGTAMGCAGGCATAATTACTAAAAATAAATGAATCCTCTGCGTTTACTAGTGATATTTTTAATACCGAGCKTTCGKCCTAAGCGGCCATTATCAAGGTAGAGTRCACGTAAGATTTTAAACAACGCAAAAAACGGAAAGCGCGCGATAATGGCCGCTTAGGCCGAAAGCTCGGTATTAAAMATATCACTAGTAAACGCAGAGGATTCATTTATTTTTAGTTATTGAGAGTRGTTATGTTATAAAAACAAGTTGTACTAATATCATCATTGGTAAATCTTGAAAACACAAACAATGTTCATTTTCTTAATGCAGCAGGTTTCAGATGATCACATAAACTTTGAAAAATTCATTAAAAACTAACGTCACATTTAGCCTGAAAAAACAGCTCAATAATTAAAGAATGAACCCCATTCAAAAGTATTTGTTTTCAATCCATCATTGATAAAAGGTGTTTCATAATGTTCTAATGAAGATCAAATATCAATTAAACTAGTCGTCATGAAGTATTGTGCAAGAAGTGTAGCTGAATAAACAACGAAAGATGTAAAACASCATTCAATTGCTGCTCTTACACGAGAATCGCAAATGATGTGGTGCTTAATGCTTGTTGCCCTTCTCGGGCCCGCCCTTATAAACGGTAAGTATATTTATCATAGAATTATCTATGAAATACCTAAATTTATCATATAACTATCTCTGAAATACCTTTATTTCTCTCTTTCGAAAAGTTTTTTATTTTAACAGTAAGTTGTTAGTTAGTTGTTTTCACTACATTCGAGGTTTCTATGTAAAGTGGAAGTAAGGAAAAAAAGTATTCTACGACGTAATTTGCTTTTGTATATAATAATATGATAAACAGAATATTACATGCTTGGAGATACGAATATAACGACAATTTTATCAACTCGTGTTGAAAATCTTTCTTCTTTTCAACACACGAAGATAAAATCCGTATCTCCTCGCRGCATGCACTATCCTGTATTTTCTTACAGTTTTTTTTTTACAGTCAATTCTATAGAGGAGTTATTATGCTATTTGCAGGCCGGTATTCTTTTCTCTACAAAATTCTGACCTCAATTTCTCAGTTTCAGACTAGTTTCAGCTAGTTTCGAGCATTTTCAGCGATGCCAGACAATCATTCTTATTTTTTTGTAACTGTACCAGCACGAACAAGAATAAAATGAAGCACTGAGGACATATTTGTATCAGTGGAAAAATAGATTTATAGTATTTTTTGTCTTTTAGGAAATCTCTTCATGATTATCTAAATAATAAATAAGACTTGGCGAAACAAATTTAAAGTTAAAAAATAAATAAATAAATAAAATAAGAGTGCCTTTAACTTTCTATAGATTTTAACTGGCTTGAAGTTTATTCTCAGAGTCAGTTATCAAAGAAATAACAGCATTTTATTTCAATTTTATTGGAAAAAGGAATGTTTTTTATCGGGTGTTTGCAAGCATTTACTGCTGGTTTTCTACAACCAACACCCCTTCCATATTAACTACTTGGTTGCCCTTCAAGCAACACCTGAATTTCAATAGGTCAGAAAAAATTGAACTGCTGGGAGTCAGGGTTCAAGTCGGTTCAAATAGCTATATAGTTCATCACAGATACCTCCATGTTATATTTTTCGCATAATTTTAACTTATGATATTGATATTTACAGCATGTGGCAAAAGTCCTGTTTACGGCTCACGTGTTGTTAATGGCGTCAATGCCAGCCCTCACGCCTGGCCCTGGCAGATCTCTCTACGGGTTAATGGCCGTCACATCTGTGGTGGTTCTTTAATCAAAAACAACTGGGTTGTTACTGCAGCTCACTGTGTGGACAGGAACCCCAGTCCTAGTGGATACACTGTCGTTGTAGGTATGTTTGATGAATGGTAACGAASTTTTAGTGAGCTTATTGGGCACTTGGTTATGAGTTATATGTCCTTTTATTGATGTCAACACAGAGCAAATATCATGTTATTCAGASAATCATTACGCGAGAACATATAGAACTGTTGTAAATGTATGCCTTGAAGTATACTTAAGGCACGTTTACACTTGCGATTGTTGCAGAGAGATTGTCGAGACGATCGTTGCGAGACCATCGCCTGAGTTTCGAACATGCCTTAAAATTGGGTGCAATTTTGCGGCGATTATCCATAGGGCTGTTTACACGTACGATTTTAGTTGTGCGATAGCAAGGCGGAGATTATCGCGTTGTAAGAATCGAAAGTGTAAACGGGCCTTTAAGTGTACTTACATATATTGTTGTTGTTATTTCATTGCTATCATAATTTGGAATTTCATGTAAGTACTTTTACTTAATTTTTTTGTTTGTTTTAGGAGCGCACAGCAGACTTGGTACAACAGCCGTTCAACGWACATTTCGCCTGACAAAGGTCATYAAGCATGAAGGGTTCAGTATGAGACATCTGAGAAACGACATCGCTCTTCTWCAGCTTAGTGGATCTGTTACCGCAAGCTCTAAGGTAAACGTTGTTTGTCTCCCACAAAAAGGATCGARCGCACAAATTGGCAAGAATTGCTACATCACAGGTTAGWATTCTAAATAGCTTTGTTAAGACAAATAATAATAACAATAATTAAAGAGATGACACTGCCTGTTAGATTAACACTTTGATCTAGAACAAGAACAAGGATATTAAGTAGACGTTTTTTTCAAATTTGTTTTATTTCTCAATTAATGCACTATTATATTAGTCGAATTTTGTTATATATTATGCAAGACATAGAGAAACGTTCACCAAAAAAGTCAAAAAAAGAAACAACAACAACATACACATCATGACATATAACATAGTAAATATGGCAAAACCCCTTTCTACAACGATACTTTTCCTTTCACACATTGTCTTTACATGGTATTTTACTGATTCCATTTTTCCTTGTGGAAATCTATTTCACCCGGCTTGTTCAGAGCTATTGCGTGCTCTATTTTTATGTAAGATTTAATAGCCTTTTAAAAGATTCCAGAGATGGACTTGCAAAAGGATTGTCCCTTATTTTATTATATAAAATTAATTAATTCATTGTCAACTCCCAAGATGATATTAGTCACGTTTCATATTGGCAGATTGATGTCAAACTCCTCCAACGATTACGAATTTCAAAATAGACATTTTTTGTGTCTATGCACTTTATAAAAGGGTGATCTAAATAAGTAGAAGTTGGTTATCGAGAACAAAGGATATAAAATATAAACATCCCCTAGGAACGTAGGCATCTCAGGAAAGCATACTCTCTGCTACGACAAGAAATCGACRAAATTATTCACTTCTTGTTACTTTTTTAGTTATTTTTATTTCCATGATTTACAGGATGGGGACGCACAGTTGGTGGTGGAAGTGCAGCCAGTATTCTTCAACAAGCACTTCTTCCTGTTGCCTCTCACAGCGCCTGCAGCCGAGTCAATGGTCGACTCRTTCCAGTTGACCAACGTTCCATGATCTGCGCTGGAGGAAGAGGCAAGGGTGGTTGTCAAGGRGACAGTGGAGGACCGTTCGTGTGTAAYGAAGGTGGTCGCTGGGTGTTRCGTGGTGCTGTCAGCTGGGGACATAGCATGTGCCGTACTGACCACTACACAGTGTTTGCACGTGTTAGCAACTTCATTGATTGGATTAACAGTAAGATGTCTGGTAAGTTTAGATATGACAATATGTCCCATTTAGAATCATTTCGCCTAAAAGGATTAATTGTTCTCAATTCGAACATCTATACTTAACCATATATGCACAAATGACATTGCTGCCATTAATTGTAAATTAAATTGATAAAGTATTTAATAAAAAAATGCACAAATGATATTATTTGAAAAAAGGGGAATAGAAAAATAACACTTATATCTTTATTGCAGGCGGTGGTGGCGGTGGCGGTGGCGGTGGCGGTGGTGGAGGAGGTATGAAATTTTGTTAGCTGTTTTTGTTTTGCTTGGTTTTCTCTTCTTTTCTCGTTTGTTTTTTGTTGTTATTTCTTTTTATTCACGCACTCTTACCAAAATACTTATAGTTTGCAAAGACAACCATCAATACTGCCCATACTGGACGAGATACTGCTCTTATCATACATGGGTCAAAGCTAATTGTAAGAGGACTTGCAGACTATGCTAATGTGAGTATTGACTTAGAAACTGATTAAATAACAAGTCACGCGCCCCTTAATTGTTTCAAATACAAAAGTCAGTGCATTTTATGCTGCTTTTCCAATATACACTAAAACTGATAAGTTCCAATTCAAGACAACGATTAAGAKCAGCTCTCTCGAGATTTTAGAAAAAGCAGACTTTTGAGATATCGACTAAATTATTGACGAGCTAAAGGCTTCATACGGAGGAACACATCTATGTCTTCTTTTTTTCCTTGTAAATCTGTAAATTTTTGATATTTTTAAACTAGTTTTCTTCTTCTTTTATCGCTCTCGCCTCAAATAGTCCCAGACTAACTGCGAGGRCTGATTCAACTTTTATTGCTGCTTATTGAGATTTTACTATTTTTGAAAGATA